TGGGTAGTGTGTTTCTCCTTCTCAGTTGGGGACCACGTCAGTGAGAGGATTTTTTTGTTGTTTCTCATTTGTGTGCGGCCCCTGACTGATTTTTCTGTGGGGTAGTGGCCCCTGACACAAAAAAGTTTCCCCAGCCCTGCTTTTAAAATTCCTTGCTTTTTAATGGTATTACTATATAGCTTGGGGTGTGGCAATGCACATTTTTACCCTGACTACTGTACTATTTAAAAACATTTTAAAAATAAACCCTGTTCATATTGTGATATTAAACCAGAGTTTTTAAAACCCCACATTTAATAGTCCCCCCCCCAAATCAATCTGTATATATTCAGCATTGTGCAGTCTCCAGCTCTATAACATTTGTACCATGATAACGATAATACGACTAACTTCTCTGCTTCATTACGTGGCAATAATCAGGACAACCTACTTGGCCTTTAGCCACCTTATCACTTTAAAAAACGCTCATTGCCACCTAACCCAGCTTAGTTGTTTCATGGGTACAGATCCCAGGAAGTAAGCATTTTTGGTACTAAGAAGCATCATTACCTTTTTTTTTTTGCACTTCAACAAAGTGCACAGTGTGTCAGAGAGTCTGAGTGTGATGAACTCAGTATCCAGTAAGCACTCTCTGTCTATATTAATTCCTGAGCCACAGCCCATTGCAGTCAATGATCCTTTTTTCTGATGACTTCAGTGGGCATAGAATCAGGCATTAGATTAAAACTATGTATTTTGCAAGTGGCTATTAATGAATTCTCCTTGGAGGGAATTTCTTCCTATGTCCCTCCCAATATCTTTTGGTTCAGAGGAGAAGAAAACCATTTGCCCTTATGTTCAATACAATGGGATTCTATTGGAATCACATTATAAAATAACTTAAGTCACGATGTTTTCCTGGATTATTAGGCACATAAGAAAAGGCAGTAAGTTATTGGGTCACAGCTTGGATCATCTGATTGTTGTGGTCAGATCTTTCAAATGATGGTGATCAAAGACTAAGGTCCTGGACTGATAATATGCCGTTGTCAGAGCTGTTGCCAAGTGTTGACCTGGTCCAGAGGCTCCTTTTTTTAGGTTACTGACTTGTTGGGCTGAATCTGAAGGTTCTGATGAAGGTCGGTACTCTATTGTAAATGCAAGTTTTCATCCCTCTGTCATACCTGATTAGTGTCTGGCACTTTAGCCTCAAGGTTTGTTTCCATTATGTTCCTGTAATTAAAGATATAGGCTACATCTATATAGGCATGATCTTGCGCAAGAACTCTTTTGCGGAAGAGTTCTTGTGTAAAAACTCTTCCAGAAGAGAGCGTCAATACTGGCATGTGCTTTTGCACAAGAGATGTACTTTTGCACAAGAGCATCCATGCCAGTGTGGATGCTCTCTTGTGCAAGAAAGCTCTGATGGCCATTTTAACCATAGGGCTTTCTTGCGCAAGAAATTCATGTTGCCTGTCTACACTGGCCTCTTGTGCAAGAACAGTTGCACAAGAGGGTTTATTCCTGAGCAGAAGCATCATAGTTCTTGAGCAAGAAGCCCTGACTTTATACAGTAGAATGTCAGTGTACTTGCGCAAGAACACACGGCCAGTGTAGACAGGCAGCAAGTTTTTGCGCAAGAGCGGCCGCTTTGGCGCAAGATCGTGCCAGTGTAGACACAGCCCCTGAGAACTGATATGCTGGCAATACTTGATGTCTGAATGGAGCAAAATGGTCCCACTGAATATTTTCCTTTTGTGGTAATTATGCATCACATCTCTACCTACTCTGTTAATCTAGGGATTAGAGGCTTTGTAGTTCTCTTTCGTATTGTGGGTTTTTTAGTTTCCTTTTGGTTTTTCTTCTCTGCACTGAAAAATGTAAACAGCCCTTTTTTGCTTTCCCCCAGAATATAAGGACTAATGAATAATGAAGGCCTCCTTCTCCCAAGATCAGCAACTGTGGACTGGAGGAGGGGGAACGTAGAAGCAGTCTCTCAAATGCAAGGATAGCAGTCTGCACCAGAGAGACTATGTATTGTACCAGCGTCTCTAAGAAGTTAACTTTTGTTTAATGGATTCTGCTTTCAGGGTAAAAGATAACGTATCTTCAAAAGACTGACACAGCCAGTTCTAAGGAGATTATTAGTTATCAGCTAGCATATGTGTTAGACATCTGCATACTAAATGGCTCAACATTGTTCAAGCAACGTTTCCCCACAGTCTCTTTGGTCTATAAAAAAGACCAGAGAGCAAGTCCATGTGGCTTAAAGTTGGCTGCTGATAAGCACTGGGAACCATAAGCAGTGGTGAAATGGGCACTAAAGACACAGATTCCAAAATAGGCCCTCCCCTTCCAGTTCTGCTGTTTTCACATAGCTGCCAGCATCCCTGCCAATGAACCATAGGGTGGGATGTGAAAACTCTCAGAACTGAAAACCAAAACTTGCTTTGCCATAGTTTTTGAGCTGAGAGGTGAGTGCATTGATATGTATCAACTGAAAATGAGTAAAACCTAGGACTGTGTAAGTGGGGCAAACTAGAAACCAAATTAATTAATCATAATTTTTCACTTTTGTGTTTAAACACACTGCACTATGAACAGCAGTTCGCCACAATAAAGTAGGATTTATTAATAGAAAGTACGTCAATAAGAATTAGTCTTTGTACATGTTATCAACATGTACAGTGAAACCATTTTTGTCAATCTATAATTTTATATTTCTTTTACACCAATATTTAGTTGATCATTTGGGCTTAAATACATTATTTGCCAAAATGTATTTCTGTGTTAACAGAGTATTTTAAATCATAGTTCATCCTTTAAATATCGGATCCATATTCAAATACGTCTCTTTTTTCCCTTGTATTGGTAGTGCTCACGGCAGTGCAATTTTGTTAGTATTGAGATAGGTTAACCATACCAGACCATAAACAACATTTTAATAAACCATTGAGATTTATAAGGATGTACACAGCTAATCAAGATTCTAATAAGAAGCTTGCTTAAAAAAGTCAAACATTTTATAGTACACTGAATGCAGTTTATACATTTTTGGAATATTTCTTGCTCTTTGTGGTCTGTTACAAGACTGAAGGAGCAGCTAAAGGTGGGCATATGTTTCCGCAGTATTAAAAAGAGAAAATCTTACATATCTTGCCTGGCATGGGAGATGGCATGGGTTTGACAGGACTGGTAAGAAGCCAGGGAATTCAGCACCCTTCCAAGACTCCATAAAGCAAGAAAAACAAGTCACTATTTTGAGTACTTGCCACTGGAGAAGTGTGGAATAAAGGGGAGAGGAACACAGAAAAAATGTCATGTCATCTTTGCCTTTAATCCAATATCTCTCACATGACAAATGGTCAGTATTTGATTTAGCGTCATGGTTAAGAGAACCTAGAGGAGACAACATGGGCAGGTTGCCAGCTCAAAGAATTTAAATAAACAAAACTTAGAACTTTCTGTATTATGTAGAATACAAGGTCCTATGTATACAGGACTGTAACAGAAGAAATGCATGTGTCTGATGGTCATAGTCAATCAGGGGGAATGTCAGGTCATGAGTGATGTTCTGTTTTTTAAATGTTCTTTATACTGAAAATGTGTTGTTTTCAAGAGTGCTGCAAATGGCCTTAGCTTTTTATAACATCATCTTAATCAACAAAATATAAACAGCCTCTGTCCAAAATTATGATTAATATTTGTATCTAATTTAACATACATTTGGCCCACAGTTCCCCTCCCTCCTTTTTTGTTCATGCAATGCTCCCTGTTTACTACAAAGAAGAGCTAAGGTTGCTAATTATACATTGGAAAAGTTTGCCAGAAAGATTCAGCTACAGTGCTAAGTTACTGATAAACCATGTCTACATCACAACACTTGTCCCATGACCTATGGTGGTTTTGCTCTGTAATAGAGAGAAGGGGTTGAAAACATTTTTTCCTGCCTCTGGGGTATGAGTTAGGCAATACGAAGACTATTACAATGAGTAAGCACAGAAATGTTTTACCCTAAAACAAACTATATGCTGAAGCTGCAGTGATTTACAATTATTTCATTTGTATTGACTCTAGTTGTGTCAAGACTGTGAAGTTAGCTGAGTGACATGACTACAATGTACTGTGGATTCAAATTTTTCATTGATCAGTCATCGATGGATGAAGATACAAGTTTCTCTGTTCATTGCTCCACAGTTTGAAAAAAGATAAAAAAGCTCATTCTAGCTCTTACCAGTTTCATTTTTTGTCTTGAGTTTTTAAATATACAGAATCTGTGCATGGCTTTTATATCTAAGGAATATTTTTGGTATGTTTAAAAGAAAAACCACTGTGTCAGTATCTCAGTGCTGGATCTTCGTCCATATTTAAGAACCAACCATGCTCGCCTGTCATGGTTTGATGTTCTCTCTCCTTCCGGTATGTGAAGTAATTGTACTGCTTCTGGTGGGAGCACTTGCTAGTGGGTAGCCTGTTGGAGGCAATACAAATTAAGCTGAGAGTTTTCTTCATGGTAAGAATGTTGAGGGATAGGATCTTGCAGGAAATGGCATCTAAGAATGAAGGAATGGGTTAAAACTTTAGAACTCAGAATTGTCCTCATATGTTGATTCACTATCAGCAGTGGATAAGGAAAGATACATGCTGGAGTTCCCACTGTAAAAAAATTAAAACTTGAACAAGAAGAACAGCAGATGAAAATAATTCTTATACCTACCACACACACACACACACACACACACACACACACACACACACAGAATATTATGCATACATGGACACACACACGCACGCACACACACACACACACAGAATATTATGCATACATGGACACGCACAAGCAAGAATGTGTATTTTTATGATAGGTGCTTGGAAATAGACATTCTTAGCAAATATGGATGACAGATCAATTGTAATTTATTTTCTTTTAACACTGTATCATCATAAAGAAAACTGGTATAAATGAAAAAATCTATTTCAAATATCTACATCTAAAATTTTAGGCAGTGAAAAAGCACTTTGTTGACAAGGAGTGTGGAATGATGAATGTTAATTGTCAGAAACTGCTGAATGCCTTTTTTTTTTTAGTTGCCACAAACAAATTCACATATCAGAACGAACAATACTGCTAAATATTCCTTTTAGTTGTTGTTGTTAAAACGCACTGGGGAAAAGAAAACAAAAAAACTGGAAATTCATACATCTTTCAAAATTTTGAAATTGAAGCAATATTTAGAACCATAGATGAAGAAACACTGTGGCATTGGTGTAATATACACAATGCACTTGGTTTTTTTTATCTGTAATGTACATCAAATACTTTACAACAATGCATTAACAAAAGGCAAGAAACATCTTGCTGTACAGAGGAAACCCCAAATGCAACTTGAAGCCTAGATTCACAATGAGTAAGGATATTAAACAAAGTGTGAGAAGCTGTTCCCCATAAAGTATGTAAACTGCTTAGTTTCTTGTGCTTAACTCCTGATCCACATCCACTGTCATATTCAACCTCCTTCCTTCAGCCACATTCAGTGTACAGCACAGCATGATTGTTTTAGACTCTATAGGCCAACAGTAAAGTTGTCCCACACTGTAATATATATATATATATTTCTTTCTAATGACTTCCATGTTTAACTTTCATTTCCTTTAGCCTTCTAAAGTATCTTAAATTTTCCATACTGGTTATCAGGGCCTTCCTATGGAACAGGCTTTAACAAACTAAATTTGCAGGAAAAAAATGTCTTGTGGTATGCATGCACATGCACAGTTCCTGGAGCTTTTTTGTGTCTTGCCAAAGCCTCAAACCCAGGAATCGGGAGAGGCTGGATAGTGGCTTGTTTCATAGTTAAGTTCACTATAGGGACGAGCAGCTGAATAGAAGTCGACGTAGTTGCCAGTTGATTTTAGTCCCAGATGCATGTTGTATTCGCTTGCAGGTGGGCGATGATGCACTTGATCCTCAAAGAAGGACTCATCATAGTTTCTTGTCGAATTCTGAAACGGCTGATACGGTTCATAATCTTTTCTACTGGGCTCCTGTGGAACTGGCTGTGTTGAAACCTAGAAAGGTAACAACCCCCACAGCTTGTTAGGTAGCAGTAGCCCCGGAAAACAAACTAGCACATACAACAGTTCCAGCTCATTTCAACTTGTCAGGCTGGAGTAAGAATGCTGCCTGTAATGCTTTACAATCACATTTATTACTGCTGCTAACAGATGCTTGTTTGTTTAAAAAGAAGTAGTTAAACAGCAAAAGCTGTAAGATTGAAGACTAGGCCGAGGCAGGCAAAATATGGTCTGTGGGCTAGATCCAGCCTGCCAAACCACTGGATCCGGCCCATGGAAGCCTCATCCAGATTCCATGATTATCCCATCCCTGCACGCTGCTCAGAGCAGCTCTCTGATTGCTGTGAGCCCAAAGGAGGGAGAGGATTTGCATGCTGCCCCCACCCCCAGCATAATCTCGGTTCCTATTGGCCAGTTTCTTGCCAGTGGGAGCTGCCTGTTTGCAGAACAGGCAGTGTGTGAAGTACCCCTTCCCCTCTGGGAGGGCAGCGTTCAAAGCCAGGGCATGGGCATGGAAGGCAGGGACCCTGACTGAGGAACCTGCTGGGCTGTTGGCCGGGAACTCCCCAGGAGAGCACCTCCCAGACCGAGCCTACTTCTAGAACCCAGCCCCTTCCTCTCCCGCTCTGCACTGCAACCTCATGCAACCCAAACCCTCTGCATACCCGCTCCTGCACCCATACCCCCTCCCAGAGCCTGCACCCCAATCTCCTGCACCCTTGCCTCAGGTCTCAACCCCCTCCCAGACCCTGCTCCCCCTCCTATAGTCCTGTCCCAGGTTACGAACCCCCTCCTAGACCCTACACTCCTTCCTGCACCTCTCCTGCATCCATACTCCCTCCTGGACACTGGACCCTCTCCTACACACCAGTCTTTTGCCCCAGGTCACAACCCCCTCCTTCACCCAAACTTCCTCCCAGATCCCACTCCCCATCCTGCACCTCAGTCCCTTACCCCAAGTTCCCTTCTGCACCCAGCCTCCATCCCAGGCCCTGCACCTCTTCTATTAGTATCATGGAGGAGTGAATCCCTTGACCACTTACTTATCACTTGCCAACCCCTGGACTAGGCTGTGTCAACATCTCATCAAAGATATCTTGGCATTGGAAAAGGTTCAGAAAAGGGCAACAAAAATGATCATAGAATCATAGAACTGGAAGAGACCTCAGAAGGTCATCAAGACCAGCCCCCCTGCTCTAGGCAGGACCAATCCCAACTAAATCAATCTGGCCAGGGCTTTATCAAACCGAGACTTAAACACCTCTAAGGATGGCGACTCCACTACTTCCCTAGGTAACCCATTTCAGTGCTTCACTACCCTCCTAGTGAAATAGTTTTTCCTAATATCCAACCTGGACCTCTCCCACCACAACTTGAGACCATTGCTCCTTGTTGATGATGAGGGGTTTGGAACGAGTCCCATATGAAGAAAGATTAAAAAGACTTGGACTTTTCGCTTAGAAAACAGGAGACTAAGGGGGGATGTGACAGAGGTCTATAACATCATGACGGATGTGGAAAAAGTGAATAAGAAAAAGTTATGTATATAAGAACTACGGGTCACCAAATAAAATTAAAAGACAGCACGTTTAAAACAAACAAAAGGAAGTTTTTCTTCACTCAGTGCATAGTCAACCTGTGGAACTCCTTGCTAAAGGATGTGGTGAAGACTATGATTTTAACAAGGTTCAGAAAAGAGCTAGATAGATTTATGGAAGTTCCATCAATGGTTATTAGCCAGGATGGGTAGGAATGGTGTCCCTAGCCTCTGTTTCTCTGGAAATGGGTGACAGGAGAGGGATCACATGAGGATTACCTGTTGTGTTCCCTCCCTCTGGGGCATCTGGTATTGGCCATTGTTGGCAGACAGGATACTGGGCCAGATGGACCTTTGGTCTGACCCAGTATGTCTGTTCTTATGTTAACTAGTGATGGGTTTGAGCCATAATTGTGGAAATTTGGAGATAAACAATGTAGCTCACAGCTACCTTTTCTATAAAGCCTGACAGGTTCAGTTCCTTCCCATATCTTACTCAGTTTCTTACTCTTTCTCCATATAACTGGACAACATCATAGGACTCAAACATCTAATAAAGGTTTCCAAGGCTTTTTTTTTTTAAACACACCGAATTAAATAAAGTTTGCCCCATTCATTTTTAAAGGACAGAAATAAGATTACACCAACCAAAATTTCCAAACCTGGGATCTTATTAAGGCACGTAGAGAAAGTGGTTGGATTTTCACAGGTGCTGACACTCAGCAAAAAATAAAAAATCAGCATGGCCCCTTTAAGAAGAGGCTTTTTTTTTTGTGGGCAGCCATTTTGTTTTTCTGTTCCAGCAACAAGACAAGCCCCTGAGGAACCAGGTAAGTGGGGATGGGGACACCTGGGATGGTCTGGGGGGAACCAGGGGCTTGGCTCAGTTGCTGAGTGTGTTGTAGGGTTGTCAGGTATCTGGTATTTTTGCCTCCTGGCAGGGAAAAAAAATCAGAAAATATCGGACATTTTAGGTGTCTGGTATTTTCTGAATTTTTTTACCAGACACCTGGTAACCCTACGTAGGATTTGTGGATATTCTCCACTCTTACAAATTGCCTTAAACGTGCCTAAATATGGATTGAGGGCCCTAATATAATGCCTTGAAATAGATCCCTTTTGTACAGTTAAATTGAACTATTCTCTAATCTACTTTTCTCTAATATTTAAATAGTATGTCACTCCTGTATTACTGAAATAGTTCTTTGGTAGCCTTGGATCTTGTTTATCTAAGATGGGTCAAAATACTCTTCCTGGTCAATCACTGAATTATTTGCTTTTGCCCAGCCCAGACTGAAAGTTTTGATAGGGGAAATTTCAAACTAAGGTGAATTTTATAACCTTGTGCTAAGTATCTTCATGATTGGATGTTTTTCTACAACATATGCTCTAATTCAAGCACAACCACTACAGTCCAAGGAGAAATTAATTCAGGGAAGTATTAAGCCCTGCATTGGCACAGACTAGATGATCACAACAGTTCCTTCTGGCCTTTTAGGCTATGAATCTCAACTCCATTCTGTTTGCTTTGCAGCCTCTATGTAACCATAGCCAGCTTTCTACCACTGCATCCCTTTAAATCTCTCTCTTTTTTGCAAAGGCTAGACATCACAGCTCCCTCTCTTACAAGGAGCATGTGAAGCTTAAGCTTGTGCTAGTGCTTTTCCCAGACTTGTCAGCATCTTTCTTTTCTCTAAGGAGTCCTTTGATTAGATCCAGTAAATAGAGACAAGAAAGAGAGAAGGGAAAAATCCTGAAATGATCACGTACCCTGCAGTGCTGTACCTGAGCCCAGGGTTACATATATTATTAAAAAAAAATTAAATATAAATAATGCTCCTCCCCCAAAACCTTTACATCTCATTGAATGTATCTGTGTCCCACATATATTTTATGTATACTAGAGGCTATTTTATGATGTGTGGGTGCCCTGGGGAGGAGAGAGAAGATGCAGTCACACTCCCTTCCCCCACATGCAGCTGGATAGAAGGCAACTATAATTTGGTGACTATTGCTCTGGGATCACTGGAGTGGCAATGCGGCCATGGCCTCCCCAGCCCACAGCTGGTCAGCAGTCCTAATCGAAGGACAGGTTAGATCTGCAGGAGAAGTGTAGTAACTGCCCCTCCCCCTTTGCCACACTACCTCACTTCTGCTACACAGGCATAAAGTCCTCAGAGAACTGTCCTAGGGTGATGCATCTCTCAGCACAGCCTTAGCTCTCAAAGCCACCGCAGAACTCCATATGCAAATCCTGCTTTCTCAGTGTACTCTAGCTGGCTGTGGTAGCACGGTACCTTCAATGAGAAGACCACTACATGCCACTTGGTATGACATTCTATGACATCAAATGCTGTTGCATGGGGAGATCTGCAAAGTTACTGTATTGGCATCATGGCCAACAGCATGCCAGCATCAATTAAGTCAATGTGAGAAGAAGATGCACAGCAAATTACAGAAGGTGTTCAGCAACTCACAAGATTAGGCTCCATATTAGCATGTAGAACTTTGTTAATATCTCTCTGTAGGATCTTGGCCAAATCATTGGATGCCCTTTCACTTAACCCTCCTCACTTCCTTTGACTATTGTTATAAAACTGGTACATTTGTTGTTTTTGGAAAATGAATAAAAATTACAAATACAACCCTCACGACCCCATTTTGCCTACCCAAAGTTAGGCACAAATAAAAATGTCCTAATTTTCTGCAATTGTGTGTTCTCTGCACCTATGAGAGGAGATCTAGTTAGATGCCTGAATATTAGGGCTGGTCCAAAAAATGTTAATCAAAACTATACTTGATAAAAAAAAAATAGGTTTTGAATTAAACTTTTTTTTCTGCAAAAAATGCTGCTTTCTACGGAAAATCTACACTTTTCATCAAGATGCCTAACACCTGGAAACTGAAAAGTTTTTGGTTCTCAAACTATAGTTCCCACGAGGAATTGTGGAAGCCTGAATCTAAATGTTTGGTTCTCTGTCAAATTTTCAGCAGACAAGACCCCATTTTCTGACCAGTTCTACTAAATGTGAATTTATGTATCTGACAAGTTTGCACCAACTTCAAATTTTTTTGTAAGCTAGTTGTGTCTCATTTCCCATTCTGAAAAATGGATACAACACCTACATACTTCATGGGATGATGCAAAAATTAATATTAATGAATTCTTGAGCATTTTGAGATGTGTGAATGAAAGGTTCTTTTTAAGGGCAACATAGTATTACATATCATAAAATTAACAGAGTTCCATAATAATCTGAAAGCACTATATTTAAGGTCAGGAAATGTTCTTTAAAATCCTGCCACTCCATATAAATCCATATGTTCACTTTTATTCTAACAAGCGGTATTAACTTGCCAATTATGATACCCATTTTGGTACCAGTTAAACACGTAGCATTGGGTTTTTTGGTGCAGATACCTGACCATTTGGAAGTGGACGCATGCCACCACATTAATGGAACAGAATATATTAGAAAAAAATGAGATTTCCATTATTGGATGAAACAGTGGAATAATTTAGGCAGAATCCTCTGCTTTTGTAGTCTCTGCCACATGTCCACAGTTTCTATTGTCTGTTTGTGTACTGTATGTTATTATACATTGTTACACATTTTGGAAACTTGTGCTTCCACTGGTACAGATGAGAACAACTCTTTTGAAGTTAATGGAGTTGCTATCACTTGCAAAAGCACAAATCTGTACTGTATTTCTCTATTGTTTTAATATTTTTTATTTTTCTAACGGGTAAAAGAATGAATACATTTATACTTTTTGTATAGAAACTACTGTTTTACTGTCATCACATACCTGGTTGTGTTTGATATCTTCAGCAGGTGCACCATAAGAATTCCTGTACAAAGTTGAGATTCCAGCATTTTGAGCTACAGACAGAAACAAAGGAGAGAGTGTTACCAGATATACCTCTCAGCGCGACTCTTCCATCAACACTATTTTTGCAGTGATTTTGCTATTACACTACATATATTAACATAGTATCAGTTAAGGTTTGTCTCAAGTAAAAACCATTCATTCTGGAATTATATTTATATATATAGAATCAGTGTACAATGGAATATTTTAAAGATATATTGAGAGAATAACAGCTTTTTCTTTTTTAATTAAGGGAGTGAGATTTCTAATTTTGGATTATTTTTTTCTCATTGCAAATAAAGGGTATGTCTACATTTCATTCCTCTCTCTCTCTCTCTCGGAATGCAAATGCAGACACCCGAAATTGCAAATGAAGCAGGGATTTAAATATCCTGTGCTTCATTTGCAATTTCGGGTGTCTGCATTTGCATTCCGAGAGAGAGAGAGAGAGATGAAATGTAGACATTCCCTCAAAATAACCCTTATACCCCATAAAGGGTAAGGTTTTATCTCGAAATAACCCCGTTTTTTCTCTTGAAATAGTGCTATTTCGAAATAGTGCCATAATGTGATTATGCAGGATATTTAAATCACCGCTTCATTTGCAATTTTGGGTGTCTGCATTTGCATTCCTCTCTCTCTCTTGAGAGGAATGAAATGTAGACATACCCTAAGGCTATGTCTACACTGCAGGCTTTTTGTGCAAGAATGGCTGTTCTTGCGCAAAAACTTGTGGAGCGTCTACACTGCACGCATGTTCTTGCACAAGTAAATTTACAGTAAAGCACTGGAACAGAGGGCTTTTTGCACAAGAGTTATTCCTCTCCCCATGAGGAATAAGCCCTCTTGCACAAGCGCTCTTGTGTAAGAAGGCAGTGTGGATGGGCAACAGGAGTTTCTTGCACAAGGAACCCCTATGACTAAAATGGCCATTCGAGCTTTCTTGCGCAAGAGAGAGTCCACACTGCCATGGACGCTCTTATGCAAAAGCACATCTCTTGTGCAAAAGCACATGGCAGTGTGGACAAGTTCTTGTGCAACACCTTTTGCACAGAACTCTTGCGCAAAACAGTTCTTGCACAAAAAGCCTGCAGTGTAGACGTAGCCTAACAGATTAACTGTTCTGACTAACAGTAACAAAGAAGGCAACTGACTTACATCTTTACAAGTGTGTACCCAAGTTTTGTGAGTAAAACTTTCATGTGTAAATTATTACATAAATGCCAGACTTTCTTTGTTTTCCTTTACCACCAAATAATCTCATTCTTCACTTTGTGGAATGGGTGGAAGTTATACTGAATCTGTGGATTTCACACATAAGGCAATAAGAAAACTTGGTACAGAAATAGCAATAAACCATGAATCTCAGACTAAACACATTGTGTTATATCATTTATATATTTAACAGATGGCTGCTATAAATACTGGGAGTGAAAAATCATAAAATCTGAATTATATTTCTGCTTTTGTTATAAGGAAAAACAATTTTGGGGGAAAGTGATTTAAATTAGCTCCAAATGAAAATAAAGTGATCTGGATGATCAGGTCTCAGCCTATGAACTAATATCAGTCTTCCCCCAGATGTTCCCTAGTTATGCTCATTGAGTGAAATGAGTTATGAACTTGAAAATGTTGAGATGAAGCAGTAATTTTAGGGATAAAGAAAATATCACATCTAGTATTAGAGATGCTCACATTTTTAGTAGGGATTTGTGTTGTTTTTCTTTTCCAATCACATTTTTAACCCAGAATGTCTCAAATGGGACTGATTCTGCTTCTGCATTTGTCCTAACCATTTATCTGAGATACGTATTGCAGATGTAGTTGGAAAAAAATGTGCATTTTGGATATTTGCAAGGATGCAAAATAAAGAATGTGTGCTGTTGCTGAAGGTCAGACTCCTAGAAAGCATGAATGAAGAACATTTACTTACCCTACAGTAAGAAGGTGCTTCAAAATGTTGTACGTAAGTTCATAAGAATGGCCATACTGGGTCAGACACAGTGGCCAATGCCAGGTGTCCCACAGGGACTGAACAGAGCAAGTAATCATCAGGTAATCCCTCCCCTGTTGCCCATTCCCTGGTTCTGGCAAACAGAGATTAGGGACATCATTCCTGTTGTCACTGTGGATCTTACCGTGGATGCGTATGTACCAAATATACACAGCATGACAGTTCTTCTTAATAGCGGTGCATATGCCTGTTTTTCCTTATGTGCCTGTATACAGGCAGAGTAGGAGGGGCTGTGTCCCTTCTTCAGTTCCCTTGCAATTCAAAGCCCAGGTTAACTGAGGACTCTAAAAAGCAGGGCTGGATATGGGATCCACTATCTATGACATCTCAAAGGACCAGAATTTCTGAAAGGTAAGTAACCATTCTCTCCCTTTGAACACATATCAGGGTGGTTCTGGGGACTGGCAGACAATATCCCCTCTTGACAGGTCAATGAAAGTGGCCAGTCAATCAATCAGTAAAGCATTGTCTCCTGAACTTGGCATAAGACCTGGCTGTCCTGTCAAGTGTGCAATGTTGGACAAAGGTCATTAGGTTGCCCTGCAGGTCTCAGGTCCTATCACATTACAAAATGAAGCTAAAGATGCTGCTTATACTCTGGTGCAGCGTGTGTAGTATGTGGAGTATAACCTGATATCTAGAGGGAAAGGCTCACCAGCTAGCTAACAGTTAGCAGATGTAGCAATACTGTGTGATCCACTTAAGAAGTTGCTTCAATAAAAGGTTTGGCCTTTTGATGAGTCGAGAATAGTCACAAAGAGATGGAGAGACAATCTAAAAAGGTTAGTTTTGTCCAGGTAATAGAGCAAGGCTCTGAAAACATCCAAAAAACCTAAGCATGGAATTCCTCTGATGTGACCTAAATCTTCAGCTCCAGAGTTTCAGCTATTCTCATAGGCAGCTCTTACTTGAAGACATCCAGGCTGGTACTATGACAAGGAGACCACCTTGTCAGGTGACAAAGATGGCAGCTCCTTTGTTGATATTTTTGCTCTGCTTTTACGGTCTGGCCACATAACCAGATATGGAGAATGGCCTTCCCCCCGCCCCCCCCCTCAAATGTTGTGAAAAACAGATTCCAGATGCCTATAAGGACGGACCCCCAATAAGCTAAATAGAGCCACAGAGGCATGCCTACGGTTTTTGAATTTAACCAGATGAATGCTACTTCTGCTGACCCCAAGGGGGAGAGCTGATTGGTCTTGCAGTAGCAGATCTTAGAGGAGCAAGTTCTTTTGTTTGAAGGTGCTGAGAATGTATGTTTGTGAAAAACAGATTCCAGATGCCTATAAGGACGGACCCCCAATAAGCTAAATAGAGCCACAGAGGCATGCCTACGGTTTTTGAATTTAACCAGATGAATGCTACTTCTGCTGACCCCAAGGGGGAGAGCTGATTGGTCTTGCAGTAGCAGATCTTAGAGGAGCAAGTTCTTTTGTTTGAAGGTGCTGAGAATGTATGTGCTGTGACAGAGGTGAGTGATGCTGAAGTACGTGGGGCTTTCAATACGAGGCTTTGCACCAGTACTGTTAGGTGTCTGACTGCTGACGATGGTCCTAGAGCATTGTCATTGCCTGTAGACATTGACAATAAGGGATATGTCAGCACAGAAGTCTTTCCTTCTTCTGAGGATGCTCTTTTTTACCAGAATAATTCAAAACCATGTGGGTCTTGGTGACTGTACCCTGAGGCTTTATTTGGTCTGTCTTTACAGGGCACTAAGCGTCACCTGGAGTCTCTGCCTTTCAGATCAGGCGGCCCCTCTTAGGGCTGACTTTTGGTACAATAGGTGTTAGCAATGGCTTTGCTGCTGCTGCTCTTGAGGTACAAGTGCTGTGCAAATGCCAGATCTTTCCTCTTCACCATCTCTTCTGCTCTGGTCTTTGGAGTCACTTGCCTGCTAGACAGTTAGCTGAATGAAGTTGGCTTGTCCATTTACTCAGATCCAGGTATCTGTTTCCTTAGGATCTCAAAAGAGCTTCATAGATTTCATCACCTGGAACAGCTTTAACTGCGGTGTTTCACAATTAATGTGTTAGTATGGTGAATGAAAGGCACACTGAACATTTACATGAGGGGCTCTCTTAGGGTATGGCTACCCTAGTTAGAACTAGGGTGGCTAATGCAGTCATTTGAACTTGCAAATGAAGCCCGGGATTAAAATATCCCGGGCTTTATTTGCATGTTCCTGGGCGCCACCATTTTTAAATGCACGGTAGTTCGGACTCATTGTCCACAGCTACACGCGGCACGGTCTAGGTAGTTCGAACTAAAGCCCCTAATTCGGACTACTGTTACTCCTCCTTACCTGTGTAGAGTAGACGTAGCTAACTCTGCCTTGCTGCGATGGAGGGGAACGAACTAGCTGACCTATCCAACCCAAAAAGGCCTTTAACTATCAGTATCCACCTTGTTCTTGCCCTTTAGCCTGGCTTTCCCCTTCACAATTCTTAACCCAGCCCTTCCTTTGCATGCCAGGGCCAAACGGCTTAGCTACTTGACTGGGACTATGCTCCTCCACCACCGGGATGAGTTTATGGCTCCTGTCTCACCTCCAGCCACCATCCAGGCAGGGTCTAGATGGTGCAATGAGGAGTAACGGTAGTCCAAATTAGGGGCTTTAGTTTGAACTACCTAGCCTGTGCCGTGTGTAGCCGCGGGCAGGGAGTCCGAATTACCGGGCATTTAAAAATGGTGGCACCCGGGAACATGCAAATGAAGCCCGGGATATTTAAATCCCGGGATTCATTTGCAAGTTTGAATGACTACATTAGCCACCCTAGTTCGAACTAGGGTGGCTAGTATAGCCATACCCTTATATAGAAGAGGCACCTGCTGTGACCATCCATCAATGGAGTTGTCAGTCACAGGATAGACATGGCTTTAAACCCACAGATTTTAAATCCAAGCCTGGTACAAGAGGCATGTCTAGAGGACCGGTGCATGGAATGTGATATAAATACGCAATCTAGAGAGGTTGGTATCATTTGGGGTGTTGAAGCTCACAGAAATCAGAAGCGTTATGAAGGTTTTATGAACAGCTTGAAGAAACTTAGCCAAAGCTAAATTGTGTGTCCGAAGTTTGACAGGTTCCATCTCATTACCATGGGTGGTAAAATGGAACAGAGAATCATGGACTTTATGCCTTCATATAGCAGCACAAAGAGCTACAGAATGCATAAATGACCTCTACAGACACTGCTGTTCAGGAAACTCCCCACTCCTCCCCCCAAAAGAAAATATCATGTGCATGAGGTGTATGGACACATTGCAGAATAACAGAATACATTTGCTGAGAGAATCTGTAACAAAGATATTATGCAAATCACAAATTCATATTATAAAATGTAAAAAAACCCACACACTGTAAAGAGTCCTATCTATCTATCTATCTATCTATCTATGCGTCTACATAGCAGTGTTATTTTGGAAACATGGATGTTATGCTGAAATAACAATACAAGTGTCTACACAGCAATTCCGTTAGTTCGAAATGAATTTGAAATAACGGATGGTTTATTCTGACATCTGTAACCCTCATTCCATGAGGAATAATGCCTATTCCAAAATAGCTATTTCGAAATAGGAGGACTGTGGATGCTCCATTGCGGCTATTTTGAAATAGTTCCTCCCCAGGGCCATTCAAAGTAATTACTCCTCAGTCCGTCCTGGGGCTCTAAATTGTGGTAACACATCCACATTAGGGAAGCCTGCCTCGGACTAATTTTGAGGAGTCCTGGTAGTGTAGAAGTGCTATTTTGAAATAAGCTATTTAGAAGTATTTCTTCCGGAATAGCTTATTTCAAAATAAGCATGCAGTGTAGATGTTTCCTAAGAGTGCATTTGACTGTGCATACGTGAGTCTGTTTGTTCAAGGACTCCTCCTAAACTGCAGGGGCTGGGACTCTGCAACCTTGCCTGCCATCACACTGGTAAGGAGTCTACCGATGCCAAACCTGGAGCTGCCCTCCTTCCCAACAGGCTGCAGGATGGGAAAGTTCTGCACAAAACAAGGCACACCCCTCCCCGGAGCAGCTGCAGGCAGGGAGTGTTGGGGGGGGGGGGGGGGGGGGGGGCGCTGGAGGCCATGGCTGGCCTGCAGACCCCAACTTCCATCCAACAAGTGCACGGATCTGGATCCCCTCTTCCCCGGAGGAGCCGCTGGCTGGGGAGCACTGCCATAGCCTCCCAGAAGGAGCCGCTGCTGGAGCAGCACCACCTTTGCCACCACCTCCCCTGCCCTGAGCCCTGCACCTCCTGCCTGCCTTGATTTCTGCACCCCAGCTTTTTTCCATGCCCTAAGGCCCCCTCCCCCTGCCTTGAGTTCCCAACACCTCCCAATCCTCTGCCATAAGCCACCCACCCCCTGCCTCTTCCTACCCCTGAACCCTCACTCCAGTCTTCATTTTCCTTCATTTTTAAAAAAATACAATCACTTAAATCAAGCATGTACATTTTTCCTTTATTTAAAAAAAATAATTACTTGCAAACCCAAGCAATGCTGGGCACATCTTCTAGAATAACATAATTAAAGCAAAAATGGCACATTAAGAGTTCGGGAATGCCAAGCGTTTTCAAAGCAGAAACTTGACCTAGTTTAGGGGAGAAGTTGAGAACATTTAATCTCTTGAGTCAGTTTAAAATTCTGCCTGGATGAACAGCTGGCTATTGATGTCAAGAGCAACAGAGGGTGAGGACAAGTGAAAGTGAGAGCGAGGGATGACTTGTTTCACATTCTGGAGTTTGGGCCCATCCCTTGCTGAGATATTGTATACATGTTAAGACATATAAAATGTACAGGGTGAGAGAGGGAGGATGAAGAAAGAAGTGAGTTTAAGAAATGGGGAAAGGGCAGGGAGGAAAGTCATAGAAGGATAGAAAGAAGTACAGTGGTCATAGAGACCGAGACAGGAGTTATGAATATGGAAATAGGAGCTGCCACATTACACCTCAGAGGTGGCTGCATTTCATTGATGAGCTGAATTACAGCATGTCTTTATTTCCTGTAGTAACAATAGGTAAATACATGGGACTATTATAGGTGCTAAAGATCCATTTATATAAGGTAAAACTGGGAAGTTTTTAAGGGCCACCATAATAGACCAATACAGTTTATGAAGAACTCTGTGGTCACCAGCTGTGAAGGATGCTATATATATCTAAACCATCAATATTATTGTATAAGATGCCAAGCATTATATTATGAACAGTCAGCAGACAAATAATTCTCCTAGCCAGTCTTCTGTGAAGAACACACTGATAACCTTAAGGCCAGCTTTGAAAAGGATGTAGCTAGATATTTATGTGACAAAGATATCACTGACCTACGCCTTCCCATATATCTTAGTTCACTTACTTGATTCATGGTTTAAGATTAACAGTCAAGTTTCATGTTCCAAAAACTGCTGACTCTGGACACATTTATAGTACTTTGAAACAAGAAGTCACTAGCCTAATGATCTTGTGAGCATAGTGTGATAGTCAGCAAGAAAGGAAAGATAAAGCAGTTATAGCCAGTCATCCACCCCTTGTACTGCATGTTCTGCTTCTTCTGTTACATCTAGCGTAGTGCCTCTTCCAAAAGAGTGCTCAGAGCAGGAAAGCTAAACATTTGTATGCTATATAAATACCAGCTAGTGGGTGTGGTGGGTGTCTCTTGGTTTCTTGTTACCGCCAGTTTCTACATGACGTAAGATGTAACCTTGACATAAAGGGATGACCCATTTATATGACAGTTTGATGGTAAAAGTTAATTTGGCAATGGCTAGAGAAAGATATTCCGCTTGCATGTCCTCCTGTTGGTATTCAAAATGCATTTTCCAAGCACCGGGAATGGCTGTAGCCTATTAGAGGACTGAGCCTGAATACTGACATTCAAGGGAAAGGGACATTCTTTAAAGTGAACTTAAAAGTAAACTCCTGGAGTGGTTGATATAGGACACAGACAGTGATGCATAATATCTGTTCAACAGGAGAAATCACAAAGCAAAAGAAAATGATCTTCAGAACACAAATCCCAGGAAAGCATATTAAAACCTTGTTTTCCCTGATCAGGAATGGAAATGGCTGGGAGTCCAGCTATGGCATTTATTTATGGTATCCACCACACATTTCTAAAGAACAGGATAGTTTTGGGTTTTTTTAAATTTATTACTTTTTTACCGTACTCAAAAGAATGTTTGTTGTATGATGACCTGTAAATGTATCAAGGCATTATAAAAGCAGAGAGAGAAGCCGTGTTGTTTGTCTGTTTCTGTTGGCTGTCCTCAGGAAACAAATGGTATTTCAGAGCTGCTTAAAGGGTAAGCCTACACTACAGAGGTTTTTTTGGAAAAACTGCCGTTTTTCAAAAAAACCTTCAATTACGTCCACACTGCAATCGTTTTTTTCTGAAAGAAAATCAAAAGAACAGAGGGGTTTTTCTGACATTGGTAATACTCATTCCAGGAGGAACCCTTTTGGAAAAAGGTGGGTGTGGACGGGGAAGAGGGAGTTCTTTTGAAAGAAGAGGAAAGAGGAAAAAGCACAGATGCCCTGGTGGCCATTCCATCCATAGCAATCACAGCTTAAATGCGAGATAGAGTCCATTCAGTATGGATGCGATCTTTTGAAAAAGCAGAAGGCTTTTTCAATGCGCTTTTGCAGTATGGATGCTCTCTTTTGGAAGAAGTTTTTCCAGAAGATCTCTTCCGGAAAAGCTTCTTCCGAAAGAAGCCTGCAGTGTAGACATAGCCTCATTCATTAATAAAGATTTTGGTACCTTCTTCTGAATTGTTTCTCTCATAGCTCGTTCACCCTTTTTTGCAGGCTTCACAGACCTTGCCACATATTCTCTTTGTGGCCGGACTATTTAAAAAACCCAAACCCTATCAATTAGCATTAAACAGTTCAGTTTCTGGGGCTGTAACATTGGAATGGTTTTATAAAACCAGGAATAGTTTTAAGTAGGTGGGAGAATTGCCTTCCTGTCTTGCACTGTGAATTTTTTCACTGTGCCACAGAATGAGAGGAAATCTATGCATCAGAGCTCCAATTTGCCAAAATATTTCTCTAAACTCCACATGATCCTTTATAACTCATCCATGTACTGACTACATTTCATTGATGGATATGCAAAGCTATATGTATGTGCTGCAGCAGTGAGGAAATCCTTATACCTTATTACAGGTAGTAAACACAGAAGAATAGCCTAGTACAACAAAATATCTCACAAAACACCCACAAAGATTGATTTTATATAATTTTTATTAAGATATTCTTGGACAGTTCACCTGGCTTCTTTCCATATTTGTTGCCATTTCTTGTTTCTCTGTCACAACTGACAAATGCTTTGTAAAGGTGATTTGCACATTTGTTACAGTCAACAGTCGATACATACTAGTAGACATTCACTTCATTTAGTTATTTGCTTTCCTCAAATGGCTCTTCATTTGATGTCAGACCAACTGTACAGAGTTGAGATTTGGCACTCTGAAAAAGATAATGTGATTCATGAACTTCAGTTTCAATTACATAGTGCATATACAGTACTGGGAACTACGGCAAAGCCTTTGAATTTGATGTTGTTGCTTATCTCTCAGAAAGAACGGAGTTGCTGGGCAGTAGGGCGGATGGCTTAAAGTTTATTACAGTAAACTTCCGATAATCCGGCACCTTTAGGACCCAGGGGGTGCAGGATTATCAGATATGCCGGACTATCAGAAGGGGGGGCTATGAGGAATCTGGGGTGGAGTGGGGGGATGAGCCCCTCCGCACTGCGGAACCAACTTGGCAGCACCCCAGCTGCTCGGCTCCAGACTTCCCCAAGTCAGCCACTGCTGAAACTGACCAGCGGCTGACTCTGGGAAGCCCCGGGCAGAGCAGCTCCAATTGTCTGGCTGGCCCCCGCACCTCTG